CCCTTGGACTCGGCGCGCCCCTTGCAGAGGCCTCCCAGACCCGCGGTGCCCAGGGCATTCCGGAGGCAGCCGAGGGCAGCAGCTCCCGGTTTCTTCTTTTCGAGGTATTTTGGGCAAGGACAAGCACTTCTTGCGTGTTCGTTGTCTACACCTCGCCCCCCTTTCTCACCTTGCCGTGTTTCCTTTGAGGCATGTCTGGGAGTTACTTCCGTTCCGACACCCGGGGCCTCCGTCTTTACGCTGATCTGTGGACGTCCTTTACGGGGTTTTGTCGTTTAGTTCACCATTCCCCCATTGAAATACCTTCTAACCTTTAGTTACTTACATCATGCTGTGGTGAATAACCTTGTTTGCACCTCACTTTTTGCATAAATTCCTAGTACTGGGACTGCTAGGTCCAAAAGTACATGCATTTAACGCTTTAATTATCCCTCATAAATGTTGTGCGGTTAATGCTCCCACCCCATGTGATCATACCCGTCTCCATAGTAATTGCATCTAAGAGCTGAGCCTACATAGGAAAAAATCTTAAGGTCCATGGTTGTTAGGTATCAAATGCCCTATAATGGATGAATATTTAAGTAAATAATGGTACATTGACTTGATGCTGTCTGACACACTGCTGAAAATATTGGTGAAAAGTGAGGCTTGAAGTGGTAGCTCACCCTTGTAATACCAGCACTTTCGGAGGCTGAGACAGGGGGATAGCTTGAGGCCAGGAGTTCAAGACCAGCCTGGGCAACATAATGAGACCTCCATCTCTACAAAAAATTTAAAAATTAGCCGGGCATGGTGGCGCAAGCCTGTTGTCCCAGTTACTTCTGAGACTAAGGCAAGAGGATCCCTTGAGTCGAGGAGTTCAAGGCTGCAGTGAGCTATGATTGAGTCACTGCACTCCAGCCTGGGTGACAGAGCAAGACTCTTATCTACCTGGGAAAAAGAAGAAAAAAAAAGTTTAACAGATCCTGAAACGTCGGCTGGGCGTGGTGGCTCATGCCTGTAATCCTAGCACTTTGGGAGGATGAGGCAAGTGGATAACGAGGTCAGGAGTTCGAGACTAGCCTGGCCAACATGGTGAAACCCCGTTTCTACTAAAATTACAAAAATTAGCTGGGGGTGGTGGTGGGCGCCTGTAATCCCAGCTACTCGGGAGGCGGAGGCAGGAGAATCACCTGAACCCGGAAGGCGGAGGTTGCAGTGAGCTGAGATTGCACCATTGCACTCCAGCCCAGGCGAAAGAGCAAAACTCCGCCTCAAACAAAAGATCCTGAAGAGTCAGGCATTCATCCAAGAAGCCCTGAGTGAGCTCTTGTTCTGTGCCAGACTCTGCTCTAGGTGCTATGGATGGAGCGGGGACCAGGACCGACAAACACATGGAGCGCATTCTAGTATCAGTGATACTCTGCAAGACTGTTAAACAAATCCTTGCTACCACTGGCCCTAAAGCAGGAGGCACAGGGCTCCCTATGAGGAGTCCATTGCATGGGGTTTCTGCAGTTTGGCTTTGGATTTTTGAGCTCTCTGATTTTGTTCTTTGTGTAATTTGCACAGTGTCCCTCCCAGGTTGCCCCCATGCCTGCCCCTCGGGGTCCCCCACTCCCAGTGAATTTCACACCATGCAGCATATACTTTAAGCCATACATCTGATGTTCCAGACATTTAGTAAAATGCCGTTTATGTGTTATTCAGTGACTCACAAACATTTTATTTACGTAGATGAGGAATGTACTTAGGCACCCTTCGGGATACCTTGGCCTCAGCAGGCACTCAACAGCCATAATAACTTTCATTCCTTTATGCTTCTCTTAACAGTTCATGTTTAGTAGCAGCACAGTAGCTATTTGAGGAATGACTTTAAGTTAATAAATGTCTGAAATGGGGCATTTAATAGGTGGTGAGATGGTTTTAGAGCCAGGGTTTTCCCTCTTTGCTTCTTGACTACTTGACGAGTTTTCATTAGAAAACCCCTTTGGAGGTTTGCACTCAGTCAGAGAGTTGAGTGCCTACTGAGTGTACTGAATTATGAAATGAGCACAGTTCCCATTAACCTGAAATTTTTGCTCCCAAATAAGTCTTGATTCTGATTTATGACTGCTTTCCGTTGTAGCCCACTAGTCATCTGAGAAAGGTGATTATTTTGAGAGGCCTGGGAGGACATACATGGTCATTCTCGATGGTGGGGGTGGTGCAGAGGGCAGAACCATGCTTTCTTGCTATCCTGAGACTGGTCGCTATCTGTTTCCTTTGCTGCTGTGTTTTTTTCTGTCAGTATTAAAGGTGGAAGAAGGCCTATATCTTTTTCTGTGGGTGCTTCAAGTGTTGTTGGAAGTGGAGGCGACAGTGACAAGGGGAAGCTTTCCCTGCAGGATGTAGCTGAGCTGATTCGGGCCAGAGCCTGCCAGAGGGTGGTGGCCATGGTGGGAGCCGGCATCAGCACACCCAGTGGCATTCCAGACTTCAGGTACTGCCCGCAGTCCCACCTGCCTTCTGCACTCCCCTCCCCTGCCTCCTGCCCTCCCCACCGCCCGGTTTCTTGCAAAGGCCTCAGAGCCTCTGTCTTCTCTCCCTGCAGATCTCCGGGGAGTGGCCTGTACAGCAACCTCCAGCAGTACGATCTCCCGTACCCCGAGGCCATTTTCGAACTCCCATTCTTCTTTCACAACCCCAAGCCCTTTTTCACTTTGGCCAAGGAGCTGTACCCTGGAAACTATAAGCCCAACATCACTCACTACTTCCTCCGGCTGCTTCATGACAAGGGGCTGCTTCTGCGGCTCTACACGCAGAACATCGACGGGCTTGAGCGAGGTGAGCCCTCTGTGAGTCGCACGCATTCTTTTTCACACAGGGAAGGCTCAGGTGCCTGTTTCTGGGGACGGCCGAAGCCTGGTGCTTGTGCTTCTTCCTTGGGACTGTTTTTGAGCCAACTAGTTAGGGCTTTGTTCCCAAGGAAAATGTCTCTGGGTGTTTAAAGGCCACCGCTTGTTCTCCTACATACCTGCAGAGCTGTGTATTTTGGGCAGAAGTTGACATTGTTTTGCCAATCTGGTGTGATGATCTCTCTTTTTTCTTCTCTCTTTTAAAAATTGTATTATGGAATTTTTTTGAGCACACGCAAAGAGAAAAATGTAACGAACCGTCCTGTCCTCATCACCAGCACATAGCCAGTCCTTCCTGCGTCCTCACCACCTTCTTCCAAATCCCCAGATTATTTTGAAGCAAACCTCTCATATCATGAATTTAATCTAGAAATAATCTATAAACACATGGATGGATATCTCTAGAGGATACTTTAAAAACAACTCTGGCCGGGTGTGGTGGCTCACATCTGTAATCCCAGCATTTTGGGAGGCCGAGGCAGGTGGATCACCTGAGGTCGGGAGTTCGAGACCAGCCTGGCCAACGTGGCAAAACCCCATCTCTACTAAAAATACAAAAAATTAGCCAGGCATGGTGGTGTGTGCCTGTAATCCCAGGTATTTGGGAGGCTAAGACAGGAGAATCTCTTGAACCCAGCAGGCGGAGGTTGCAGTGAGCCGAGATCACTCCACTTCACTCCAGCCTGGGTGACAGAGGGAGACTCTGTCTCAAAAAAATAAATAAAAATAAAAATAATTAAAAAAAAAATAAAACCAACTCTGATACCATTTTCACGCTAAAGAATCACTAGTAATTCCTTAATATTGTCACACCCAGTCTGTGGTGCCCAAACCAGTGGTTCACAGGTTGTGCCACCTTCTGGCCGTGCACCTTACGGAAGCACTTGGTGGGGCCTTTTCCTTACGTGCAGTGCTGCGGACAGGCGCTGGGACAGTCAGCTCTCCGGGAGCCAGGAGCGGCTCAGCCAGTCTGCTGATGTGTTGTCAGGTAAAAAGAGGAGGCACCTTGGCTCCAGGCATGTGTTTCCTTGCCAGAAGGATCCCCTAGCTTGGAACCACAGAGGCAGCAGTGGATACCCCATGTTGGTGGTCTCTTCTCCCAGAGGTGCAGCAGGGCAGGCCTTGTGGGAAGGCGGGAGCTCCTGGCTGTGAGATTCAGCACTGCTGAGTTAGGGCAGCGACAGGGACTTGGGAAGCCTCCTACAGCGGGGACCATGACAATACTAACACAACCTTCATAGGAAGTCACTTTTTGTCTGTTTTTCTACCAAGCCGTTCTTTTGGAATTTATGATATTTATATCCTCATTTTTTTTTATTTATTTTTTAATTTTTTTAATTTTTTTATTTTTTTATTTTTTTGAGACGGAGTCTCGCTGTGTCTCCCAGGCTGGGGTGCAGTGGCCGGATCTCGGCTCACTGCAAGCTCCGCCTCCCGGGTTCACGCCATTCTCCCGCCTCAGCCTCCCAAGTAGCTGAGACTACAGGCGCCCGCCACCACGCCCGGCTAGTTTTTTGTATTTTTAGTAGAGA